GGAAATGCAAAAACAACGTGTTGAACGAGTGTCAGTAAGCTTCTTCAGATACAGAAGCGTATACATTATTGGAACAATCAAAGAAGATCTGGGAACTGCCAAATGTGAACGCGGCTTGCCTGACTGTTGCCCTCCACCAGCACCGTTGGCTCAGCGCATGAGTCCTGCCACAAAGACACCACCACTGAAACAATACAGAAGAACAAAGCACTTGGCTGCAAAAACACATCAGTGCAACATTCGATAAGCTACCCGCACCACCAGTACTGCATACACTTGTTGTTCTTTCTCAGCAGAGCTCGAAGAGTAGTGAACACGTGGCGGCCAAGACCCTGTTTGGATGTTTTGGATGTTTTTCGCTTCCAAATGTCTTTAATGAAGGTCAGGTATAATTGGCCTGCAGCGCCAGTGGACTTGTTGGTGGCTTCACATCACAGCCCTGCCGCAACACCAATCCAAGGCTGGAAACTCCAGGAATACCTACTACTACTGGTTTGCGCTCTATGGCAAAGCTTTGTATTGAAACCTTCTGTGGTAACAACGCTTCAGAGACCACCGACGCCTCCTCATAAACGTGAGTACCACCAGGTCGCTGGGCCATCTGGGCATGACAGCTATCAGTAAATCAAAATGTTGCCAACTACAATGCCAGATGGCCTGATCGTACATCTCACCCTTCGAAAGATGTCCGGCCTGTCATGGCAGATGGAAAGATCTGAGGACTGCCATTGAATTTCGACATGTCCTGAAAACTATTCAGCAAGTAGTAGACGACAAAGAGATCTTCATGAGCACACCAGTTCATGAAGTCAATCACGTGTGCTTTTTGCTTTTCCTGGACCCCAGTGAAAGAGAAGCAAAAAGAAAACTAAACAGACCCATAGTGAAAGCCACCCCCCATGAACTCGGCCCAGCACTGTTAGTGCCCAATCCTGAAAACAATGATAGAAAGTCTGACGTGAACTGTAATTTACCTTCGACACATGACATGTTTTGATGCCTCGGCGTTCAAATCGCTCACCAACTTCTCCAACTCCTCTTTACTCGGGATGACCTGCGCTCCACATTCCATATGAGCAACCAAAATTTGGGGGCGCTGTTGCAAAGAGCCTTTCCCCTGGCCGGTGGAGGTGGACGTGGACGCTCCTCTTTGCAAGAAACAGTGAAAAGAAACAAAAGGACACACTACTCTAGGCTCCTGCAGATTGTCAACAGCATTCTTTGCCTGGCTAGCAAGCATGTCTGACCCAATAATGTGACTAATCTATGGCCTCGCCTCCGAAACGGGGTTGCCATGTTCGGCGACAAAACCACGGGCAGCCATTCTGCCTTGCTCCAAGGCTATCCTGTCTTCTTCCTGAGGCCAAGAACAAATGACAGAGACAGCGACTGAGACAGCGACAAAATGACAGAGACAGCGACTGAATCACCAGATTCGCTTTCTTCACGAAAGTCCTAAAGTGATCTTGAAACCGCCACATCTTCGATGAAATTTGGAAAACTGCACTGGTACAAACATAGTTGGGTCCTCAGGCCAACAGCACTCCTGAACCAGCGCAAACCACTTACAACTGAGATTTTTCCATGTTCGATGTATTCAACTCTTTGCAAAGCCTCTGCCAGCGTCAGCAGCTCTGCAAATTCATTGCCCAGCATGTCCATCTCAGTCACCAGTTCCTGACATTTTTTCACACGACCCCACTCATGATTTCTACACTCCATCAAATTGCAAATGAATGCATCTACCAGTGAAACACCTTATTCTCGACCATAGTGGGCACACCATCCACAGCCTTGCGGCAAAAGTAAATGAAATGGTAGTGAAACGGCTAAACATAAAACGAGCCACACAGGAAAAATAACAAGCAACTAAAAACTGAAAGAATACAAACTGATATCAGTCTCAGAGAAGAAATATAACAATATGCAGAAAAGAAGAGAAGAGAGAGAGAGAGAGAGTGAGAGAGAGAGAGGCAGAAAACAAGAAATAACAACAGTTGAACAAACAATGCAAAAGAACAAACAGGAAAACTGAAAAGAGGGAGGGAATATCTATGCATAGGAAGCACACCTCCCATGGCTGCGTGTCCACGTGGTCCATCTTGTCCTGAAGAAACAGGCAATTCCACTGTGAAAGCAATGCAAATGTTTTGCATATATTAGAGCTCCTTCTTGGGTCGTTTTTTGGCCTGCGATACAAACATGACTTCGCCCGCACACATAGGCAAACAAGTCAGATGATTTCAAGGAAAGCCAAGCCTCAAGTTTCTTTGCGGCAGCCAAAAACTTTCTGAGTCTAGCACTTTGAGAACTGATAAAGTCGGACAGGCTAACTCCAGGCGGAGGCTGCAGATGCACTGCGTGCATCAACTTTCGCACAACAGACTCTATCAATTTTGGGGTGAACTTACGCCCTTCAAATCGCCGCTGCCCACACCAAGCGAACATTCTTCTGAGACATTTCTTCTTTAGTGAACCTCTTGGGAAAAGCTGGTGGGACAACTGGATTTGTTCCTCATCAAGCCTTTCCAATAAGACATCACATACAGTGCGTGCCAGTTTGTTTCTGGCTTTTTTTTGGCCAGCAAGCCGCCCTGTACCCCAGGCTGTCTTGGTCGTGACATTGTAGGCGCATACAAGTTGGTTTGCGATATGCGACAACATGGCCACAATATATATATATATATTTTTTTTGCTGAAACAGATTTATATATGAATATGTTCATTTTTTGCTGAAACAAATAAACATCCAAAAACAACAAAACCTCTTGCATTTTAGATGTAATATGCCTCGAATGACATCATCGTCGAGCCACACAGCACTTCTCACAGGAGAAACAGTGCACATGTGTGCAAACACATCGGCGCAGGTTTGCGGAGCCTTCTGGAAGATGTGGAAATCGCTTTGGCGTCGGCCCAGCAGTGGAAAATGGCAGCGTTTGCTGCAGAATGCTGATCAGAGCTGCATTTTTTTACCTAGCATGTTTGTTAATCTAACCCTGGACACATGCACAAACCTCGAAACGTAAGAGGTGAACGTGTGTGACCCTATTTGGTGTAAAGCTTTCTCTAAATTAAATGTTCCACATTCTATACATGAACAGATTTATATCTCAGTGCCCACCCAGTGCAGAGCGGAGCGGCAGCGCGGTTTCATGAAAGGCAAAAAAACGAAACATCCCTTCGAAAACGATCGATGGCACCACCTCTGTTTCGTGCGTGCGCATGACCCCACCTGCATCTATGTAGTATAATGACATATCTATTCGTATATATACTTTGTAGATACAAATACTTAAAGTTAAAGGAGAAACTTCCGAGTTACACGACCACAGTGAGTGAAACAGAAGTGCGTGGCTCAAGAAAACAACCTCTCAAGGACGCCAAAGTCACGTATCTGCAGAGCAACTGCGCAAATTGTTGAACAAGGTTCACTAAAACTGCCCACGCGCCAAAGCGGTTGACTCACAAGCCACATCCGCGCAAGGTGGGGGGCAGGTGGGGGGCAGAGGTGGCAATAGGGAATGAACTATGGAGCTTTTGAATTTCACGACCTATAGTGCCTCTCAACCTGTGTTGGACCGGCCATGTGAGGCAAGCGTTGCGACGCCGTCTTGCCTTCAGCGTCTTGAGGGCGTCGCTAGCTGCTCTTTGAGGGATATATGGCCTGATATGGCTTCAAAGCCATTCTCTGTTTTCACTGCTTGGTCGACTTAAAGCTCAATTAGCTCCCGAAAAAAAGTGAGTTCACTAACACATCCGCGCGCCAACTCACGTCTTCCGTGTCACCGTGGTCTTGCCTGTTTCCCAGCCAACAAGCTAGCCCGCTGTTGAACCTCAGCTGCGTGAATATGGTCGCGCGCACTCCAACCTCTTGCATTCGCGCAGCGTCATCGTGGTGCGTTTTTTTCACGAAGCACATTGGGGTCATCCATGAGCCACGGGGCACGCGTGTCTGCAATTCCTGCTACGGCGGAGCTAGCGCGAGCTTCTTGTACGCCTGCCAGAACATTACGTTGTTTTGGAGGGTTCTCTTGTGCCCCGCTTGATTGCTTTTGAGCTGAAACTTACGTATATTGTTGCAATAGTACAAATGCCATTTTGTACAAGCTCGTCCGTTGCGCTAACTTTTGGGCTGATGAGTTTCCATGGCCGCTGCCTGAGGTATGATGACATCTCTGCCTGTCAGCTCCTCCCTCTCCCATCCGCCACATTGCCCAAGGCGCAACCACCAACCTCAGGGTCTCATCGCCTGACAGGTGGGATTTTGGAGCGGAAGATTTTTCTGGTGACTGGTTGTACTCCAATTCGCTTAGTCCAAAAACCTTTTTTGAGCTTCTCAGCTCTGGAAACGGAGGCCCTCACGGCACTCTCAAATCTCCCTGCTTTGGTCCTTTGTCCCAATACTAATGCTGAGGGTGTAGAGGTAACGGTATAAAATAGACCCTTCGTGTCGTGGCAGGCTAGTAGCAGCAAGCCTCTTGAGTGGAAGCCAACTCCTCCTGCAAGCCCACGACCAGCAAATCCACCAGCGCTCCGCTACCATTTGATTCCACAGGGTTTGGCCCAAGTGCCCGCAGTGCACTTCTTAACTCGCGCTCGCCATGCCTAAGTTGAGCCTACGAAGTCTTGTCTTGTCAAGAGAAGAAAGACCTACATAAACGAAGCATGACAAAGTAAAGTCAAAAACAGGGGGCAAGACGTGTTTCTCACTTCCATTAGGCTAGTAGCGGCAAGCCTCTTGAATGGAAGCTGATTCAACTCCTCCTGCAAGCCCTGGCACGCAATTTCACCAGCGCTCCGCTACCATGAGAGAACCTTTTCCACGGGGATTGGGCTTCTTAATTCGCGCCGGCCATGCCTAAGTTGTGCTTGTTGACCGTTCATAAAGATCATAAAGTCTTGTAGAGATAAATAAGACCAACATTCACGGAACATGACGAAATAAAGTCAAACACTGGGGACATGTCGCATTTCTCACTTCCAGCTCAGAGCAGTGCTGCATCGTTTTCTTTCAATGCACATCGCGTCGCTTCATCGGAGTGCACCTCGGCACAACAAATCTTGAAGGACACTCAAGCTGAATGATTTTTGTGGAGTGTTCAACCACTGAAACTGTGCGACTGCGATTCTGATGACCAGACAAACATGCCCATTGCACATTGAAAGGCAAAGCATTGCAAGAGCACGTGGCTGAATGCTACCAAAAGCACCTTCCATAGCTCCACATTTTTCTGGCGGATTTGGGTGAGTCCTTCGTCCAGGGCAGTATCTAAACCTCAATGGAAGGCGCAAGTGAGTTGAGATGGTAATCTGCCTTTGAAACTGAGAGGTTTGTAACGGCTTGCAACTGAGAGTTTGGCTTCTCAGAACACCTCTGTAGGCATCGGTGTCCTCAATCAATTAGGAATGTGTGTGTTGAAGGTGTGGCAGCTAGCTCCACACTGGAGCAAGCCAAACTGCATTTGGACACGCTTGATGTACCCAGCCTGAAGATCCCGGCCTTGAAAGTTAAATCTCGCTAAGATGCAAGCAATCAAGTGGAATCAAGAACCTTGAGCATCCATCTAACCTGTGTCCTCGTTCTCCTTTCCTTGCATGCCATCCTCTACCACTGCATCCCAATGCCCTAACATTGACAAGGGAAGTGATGGGAGAAGGGACGACATTTTAAGACAGCCTGGTCCTAGATTGTCTTCTTCCTCCTCTTTGCTCTACGACTCACATCCTGCTTGTCTCCGTTCTTTGCCCGGTATCTACTTCCTTGTGACCCAACGTGTCTGTTTTCATGAACAGAATGAAGAGAGGACACTAACATACACTAACGAGGAGAGACTGGAATTTGGCAATGTGGGCTTCAAAAAAGCCAAACGTCTTGCCGGGCTGAAAATAAACAACAGCAGGGCGGGTTACACCTGTTTAACTGAGTTTACCTCTCCGGTCTGTTCTCCTTCTCTTGCTGCCCTGCGTGGCACTTGTAAACCGCTGAAACCAATGCTGCATTCGCTCTATTCGTCCCACTTTCCTTGCTTCCCAATATCCAAGTTCCCAAGTCTCCAAGCATCCATTCATTTCCCTGTGGCCTTCCTTTGTTGTCTACCCATTTAAAAAATACTTGGTACATCAAACAAGCAGAGTGACAAAGAAGTTAGCTTGGTAGAAGCTTTGCACTTTGAACAATGCTACGCCACTGCCCCCGGAGCTACTTGCGGCAGCTTTGTGACAAGCGAGCCGAAACCACTGCACGAGGCGATGTCGAATCCACGGCACTAAACGAATCGTCATTTACCAGAACTGAGCAGGCGCATGATGATCTGCAAGTGTCACGCAAGTGACTAAAGAGGGTGCAAGGGCGAGGAACAGGCAGGCCAAGATCTGCTGAGCTTTGATATGCTGAAAATGCAACGCAAATTCAAGCTCTGCGATATGATCTACAAGTACCACACAAATATAACTGTATATTCCATCGCGCATAAAGCTCCTGGCCATCCTCATCTAGCTGTTCTCGAACGCTGGCAGCAAGTTGCCTTTCACCACTTTGCAAATGTCCAAATTCAAAGCTGCAGTACATCCGATAGCCAAGCAAATGTGTCTGGCTAAAGCTCAACTGGCTCTTTAACCAAAGCTCATCTTCAATGATCACTCTTGAATGTTCTCTGGTTACTTGTTATATATTTTTTCTATTAGTACCCTAGCCTGTGCTCTGCTTTCAGGTCATCCTCGGAGACCTGCCAAAGAATACAAAAAAAACACGGAAGGAAAGGAAAGGAAAGGAAAGGAAAGGAAAGGAAAGGAAAGGAAAGGAAAGGCAAGGCAAAGCAAGGGAAGGGAAGGGAAGGGAAGGGAAGGGAAGGGAAGGTAAGGAAGGAAGTTGAAGAAACGCAACAAACATTAAGTTGTTTGAGCACAATCCTGGCAGGAAGGCAGGCGTGGCCATGTTATTTTTCCGAGTCTTGTAAGAACTTCGGCATCTTTCCAGCGCCTGCTTTCTCGCGTCAAAGTATCATGGGAGTTGCGGCTTCAGTGTCAACTTTAGATTCTGCAAGCATACAAAGCCCAGCACCGTTCGAAAATGCGCACTCAAACGTTGGTCATTTGCGGAGTTGAACCTGGAAAAAAAACAATCACCGGCTTCAGCGCTAAAGGCCAAACCCTAAAATTTCAGCGGCCTTGCCATCTTGTTCTCATACATCTCTGTCTGTACTAGAGATTTGTGCCTGGTGTCTCGATGTGTTTTTGGCGCATTGCCCGGAAAGAGACACTTACCCGGTTCACACATTCATGTTTTGGCTGCCAAACTGAGATCTGCGCGTCTTGTGGTGGTGGAGCAGCTTCATCCTCAAGGCAACTCAGGGTCAACTTTGGGGCTTATGCACTTTATTTCACTTTTTTCTTCAATTGGACATTCAGCAGGTCACAAAAAATACAGTATAATTATAAGTGTTTTTCCCGATCTTTGCGGGCATGGAAAAACAATGAAAAACATTTCGAAAACACACAAAATACGGATCTTGAGTTGTACATTGTTGGACATTTCAAGAAATGCAAATCGCGCACACGCAATAGCTAAAGCCACGCTACGCATCAAATCTTGAATGAGCCACGTCAAGCTTACCAAGTCGTGCCCTCAAACCTCTGAGTAGCCGCGAAAACGCTGGATCGTTTCACACCATCTTACCTTTTGACTTCGCGATGGGCACGCGCACTCAATCCTCTTCAGAGCCCACGTTCGTCTCATTTGGGGAAGCTCAGGCAACAATCAGCGGAGAATCCAACGTATGGATGACTGCAGGAGAAATTTGTCTGTTTGTGGGCTGCTTCACTTGTTCCATGGATTTTCCAGAGAGTTTTGGCAACAGTTTCTGCATGAGTTGCCGTTGACATTTCCATACTCGAACGAACTTTCCACCATGTCCATATTTTAACTTTTTTGTGGTTTTTCTGTATGTGTTTGGATTGCTCGAATCGGCTCAGCAAAAAATTGTTTGGAAGTAGGACCAAGACTGCCTATTGTTCTTCCAATACAGCAAGACACTTCAGCCATTTGTCTGGCTGAACTATAATATTTCATAGGTCGTTGGGTCGTAATTCGCTATTTCAAAATGGAAATAAGGATTAGGTCGTTGAAATACCAAAATATTGGGTGAGGTCGGGGTTGGTGCGCGCGATGTGGAAGGACACAACGTGACATATAAAATTCACTACATAAATTGATAATTACATATATATATTTATTATACAAATATATATATATATACAGTCTACATACATATTTATGTGTGTAATGTGTATATACACATATATATATATATATTATATATACATATTTTTTTGTTAATATCATGTTGTTTTTGGTGCGGTCGCCGACTGTTTCCGACATGCACGCGGTTCTGACAGAACTGACTGGTCAAAAGGATTATACAACAACGGCGAGACTGCAAACACCCCTTTTCTTGCCTCATTGCGCTAACAGAGAGCTAACTGCTTTCTTTTTTGGGGGGGCACGCGACTGCTCCAGAGTCTACACGAGGTGTCACTCTCTTCCGAAATTCTGTCTTGAAAGGGCCTAGCAGCCTATCTGTGTCAGATAGGGTGTTTCTGGGAATTTCTGGGTTTCTATTATTCAATTGTCCGCTTAGTCTAGTCGTCCGATTCTCGCTTCGGCTTCGCGAGGTCCTGGATTCAATTCCTTGTTCAGACTTCAAATCCCGAACAATAGGGGCAGCAATGGTTGTAGCCCAAGCGCCTATCTGCGTCAGATAGGTCGCTTCTGGTTTCCCAGCGGTCGGGCACAAGTGGTAGCAAAACAAGTCTATCTGAGTCAGATAGGTCGTTTCTGGTTTCCCAGCGGTTTGGGCACAAGTGGTAGCAAAACAAGCCTATCTGAGTCAGATAGGTCGTTTCTGGTTTCCTAGCGGTTTGGGCACAAGTGGTAGCAAAACAAGCCTATCTGGGTCAGATAGGTCGTTTCTGGTTTCCCAGCGGTTTGGGCACAAGTGGTGGCAAAACAAACCTATCTGAGTCAGACAGGTCGTTTCTGGTTTCCCAGCGGTTTGGGCATGATCGGTAGCAAAACAAGCCTATCTGAGTCAGATAGGTCGTTTCTGGTTTCCTAGCGGTTTGAGCACAAGTGGTAGCAAAACAAGCCTATTGAGGTGGGAACAGCTCAGCCCTTATTTCAGAAGTTTAGGTCGTAATTCCAAAGTGACGTCGGGTGAAGTCGCTATAGTTCGATCAGATTTTTATATTGTAGTAGCATGCGGTTTGAGGAGTGCTCAGTTCCCCACCATTTGTGGCCAGCCAATTTATCTTCAAACGCTTGCCAGCACCGCGACTGGACGATGGAGTGGAGTTCCTGCCGTGTTCCTCTGAAACAAACACAATCATGAATTGAGGTGCACATTCAGCTCACACCATACCCCGCGTACTAATGCTGTCGCTGTTGCTGCTGCACGAACATTTGCTGAACAAAAAACATGCGAAAACCAAAAGAAAAGACATGCTCTTCTCACTGCCTATCGACTGCCACGCTGTCGCCTTGATCTGCGCCTTTCCTAGAAGCTTGTTTCCGAGCACCTTCAACTCGCGGTCAACGGCCTTACCAAAAACAAACTCGTCCTTACATCAGCTGAGGGGATTGTTCAAGGGGAAACGCGGAAAATACCATCATCCCATCCAGGTACTTCAACACCAATCAATGGCCTCTTCTGCTGCTGCCACAGCTGCTTTGAAGTACTGCGCGATTTCTCTTTCGTTTTCCAATTCTCTGGCACCTGATAGATAGATAGATAGACAGATAGATAGATAGATAAATAGATTATAATATAATATAATGCATTAAAGGTGAATAAAAGTCGAATATAATACATGATGATATAATATTATACTTTACTTAAGTGCTCATAGCATGTGTTCCGCAGCGTCCCTTTTGCCGCATTGAGCACTGTTGGAAGGTCAGCTACCATCCTGTTCATGGCATGCTGCCTCATCATCATCCCGCCGGGTGGGAGGTGGGTGACCAAAAAAGGTGCGGGCTTGAACCCTTGGCGACATCGATCACCGTGCTCAAACCTATAAGTCTCATTTCCAAAAAAATCCAACTTAAGTGCTCATAGAAGCAGCGCGTGTTCCGCGGCATCCCTTTTGCCGCATTAAGCACTGCTGGAAAGTCAGAAACCATCCGGTTCATGACATGCTGCCTCATCGCCCTCACTCGCTGGAACACGTCACGTGTAGTGGATGTACTGGTCAACGGTCGCCATCTTCTTTGCGAGCCCCGCCAGCACGTCCACCGAGTCACGCAAGTAGCGCTGCACCGCTGAACTCGTCCATCTGCCGGTTCGCTTCACCAGCTCAACCTCACCTGTGGCTTGGTACAGCGCTGGCGCCCCTCCAATCCGCAGAGAATGCGATTGGAAACGATTGCAGGCAGCCCCAGGGCCTTCGCTGCCTTCTGGAGGATGTTCTGCGCCTCTCCAACAGCCTTCTCTTAGATCACCTTCATGACCAGCAGGTTCTGCCTCGCCCTTTCCAGCTCTTCGGCGGTCCTTTCCGTCTTGAACTTTACTAGCGCGGTCTTCTCCGCCGTGCTCTCCCTGCCCTCCAGCTTCATCCTCTTCAGCCCACCCCGCCGTAGCAGTTTCATCTGCGCCGTTGCAGGCTCCACAGCTTCGAATGTGCCCTTCAGCTGCTCACGAGCCCTCGGGCTGCAGAGGGGTTCCCCTTGTCGTTGGGCATCAAGGCATAGAACTTGAGGTCTTCAAGGGTCATGGACTCTCTCCCAGCCAGCTTCTTGATCTTCCGGAGCTCCTCCTTGAGTTCCCCCACGAAGCGCCAATGTAGCTCCTCCCAACCGTCACAAAGGACTTGTAGTGGCCATCTATGCGGCGCACCGAGACGCCATTCGCTCAACAGGTTAACCGCGCGCTCACCTTCTTCCACTCGGCTCCATACTTGAGATCCTTGTTTTGTTATAATGAGTTAACATAATTATGATCACTTATGTTCATTTAGCAACTAGTTACAACTATGTGTTAACTAAGTATAACTAGTTTTTAACTATGTACAACTAGTGTTAATTTTTGACATATGTTAAGTTAGTTAGTAACTTTCTGATGAAGTTATGTAACTAACTTAATTCATGTTAACTCTGTATAATTTTTTGAGCTTGATCTAGCTCATTTTCATTTACCAGAAAATGATGATGTGGTTGTATATTATTTGCATTAAAAAGATATGTGCGGACCTTTTTGTTATGTTGTTTTGGTTGCTGAATTGAGCATACTTATTTCCTGAACTTCTTTTGTTTTTGAGATTTTGAAAATTGATTTTCCTTTTTGGTGGACATGCGAAAGCTTGTCAAAACAGAAATGCCTGTTTTGTGGCACATTCTGCATGACATGTCACAACCTACAAGAGCCATGTTTTGGCCATATTTGGTTTCAATTTTTTCTGTGGGCATGCATTATACCCGCATTTTTAAGAACCAGAGTTGCCAACTCCAGTGCCAGCAAATTGCAGCCAGCAATGGTGGACATCTCCTACCGCTGCCAAATCACATACCAAGAGGAGAAGCCAGTGAGCATTGCTGCAGACTTGGTTGAGGAGCACCAAGGCCAAAAGTTCCTCAAGATCAGTGCCACCAACTATGCCATTTGCCAACTGGTTTGTGGTGGCAAGCTGCCCACTAAGAACACCAGCTTGGCCAAGAGCAAGGAATTGCAAACATTGGTCCAAGCCAGGAATGACAAGATCCAAGAACTTTTGGCAGCACCAGAAGAAGATACCCAAGAAGGCCAAGAATTGTTTGACTCAGAGATGCCAGCAAACAAAGGCACCAAAAAAGAAAAGCCAAAGCCATGGAAGCAGCAGGTGACAAGTTTGTGGTCACCATCCTATTGGGATCCACTGAGATTCCATGTTTGGTTGGTGGCCAAAAGACCAACCAAGTGGGATTTGTTTGTTGCCATGGAGCCAGAACCTTTGAGAGAAGTCATTTGCCATTTGAAAGCTGGCTGCCAACAAAAAGACAAGTTGCAGCCAAGGATTGCAAAAGCCATTGTTTGGCCTAAAAAGCACAAAGAACAACCGTCACAAAAATCCACACATGGCCATTGTTATAATAATCATCAAAGCAAGAAGAACCATTATCAATCCACAGTTTCCATTGACACCCCCTATGGGCTGATGTTTTTGAATGGTGCTGCTGTTTTCACAAATTAAGGAAATGGCACAGCGAAGAAGAACAGCAATCAACCAAGGTCCACCATCAGTGCATGTGTATGTGAAAAACCAAGTACCAAGCCTTTTTCTGAACCAGCCATGGTGGAGAAAGTGGCTGCCCAAGTGAAAGCCATGATGGATGGCAGTTTGGCCATCAACCAGAAAGTCAGCCAGGTCATTGACCTGTTGGAAGTTCATGCGCCACCTTCAGGTCCTGAAACCATCACAAATTCTATGCCACCCTGACAACAGGGGTGGGACCATGGTGTCCTACCATGATGCTTGGACCAAGGGCATGGCCATGCTGGGTGTTGGAATCCAGATCAGCCTTCTGCAGGGTTCCATAGCGATAGAGATGTCCAAAGATGAAGGCAAGAGAAAGGTACAGGTTTCCAAGAATGAGCAGTTGTTTCATGAAGCCAATGGCCACCTTGCACCTCTCAGTGGCCAGGAACGTTCCTTGTCTATTTCAATGGTCAATATGACACCATTATATTGAAGCTCCCATAAAGACAGCCATACTGCATATACTGATTTCAAATGTGTTGGCAATACAATAAATCTTGTTTGTTGATCACATGGCCCATACACTGCCCAGGCTATTTGTCTTTGAGTTCCAGCCACACTGTGACCTTCTTGAGATCCATGGAACACCATTTTATGGTCACTCCAAAAAAGCCAAGTTGGCCAATCCACTTCCAAATGCCACTATGGCAGATATGTTTTGCAAAAACCATTTTATGGCCACTGTTTCCAAAAGCCAAGTTGGCCAATCTATTTCCCAATGCCACTATGGCATATACATGTTACAAACGCCATTTTTATGGCCCATTGTTCAAAAAGCCATTTTGGTCAACTATGTTTTTGCGCAAGGTTAAAACCATTTTGTCTTGCAGCCATTGGTGAAGTAAGGGAAGGAAGCAAAATCCAATAACTAAAACTGTGGACAGTTTTTGGTGAAGTAAAGGAAGGAATCAAAACCTAATGACTAAAACTGTGGAGAAACATTTTTGGTGAAGTAAGGGAAGGAAGCAAAATCCCCCAACTAAAACTGTGGACAGTTTTTGGTGAAGTAAAGGAAGAAGTCAAA